CTGGTGTTAATTCTCCGCCCCATTTCAAAATTAAAACGAGCGACGGTTCTCCGAGTCGATCTAGTGAAAATTAAATATTCAATTTCTTAATATTATTCAATATATCGTTCTTCTTCATACCATCATCCGACGAACTTCCTCTCGGTCGTCCCCTTGGTTGATATTTCATCTGTACTTTACGATTAATACCCGAGAAGTGACCGTACCTGTAATATAAATTCACCTGAATCTAATTCTGCAGGAGAAAATCGTATACCACAAGTACAATGCTTACATTTCTAACACACTTTTTAACTGTTCCAATTTTCCCTGTTTCTCTTCTAATTCTGGCCCTGCAGCCCGGTGTTGTATCTCTGCTAACAAACTACGTGCAGTATCCAGTATTTCTTGTAATTGTTTAGGTCGTTTCAATTTAATATGACCGTGTTTGTAGCCATCGTATTTTGCAAATATTTCAAAGAATCTGTTTGAAAGTGAAACGTGGTGTTGTTAGTCAATCTCTATTTCATTTTAGAAGATATACTTACTTTGGATGACGAACTTCTACTTTCATTTTTTGTTTCGGTGTTCTATCACCGTGCCTTATAACAGCAACAACGCAACGTAGTTCCATCCTATAATACATTAAAAATTAATATAAGAACTGTAATGTTTAAAATAGAAAGGAAATGAATAGTAAATTACATTTTCCCAAATGTGGTAGGTACAATAGGTGGATCGTCTAATTGAAAGGGGACACTCCATGGTATGTGCAAAGTTGGCGCCAATTCTCTCAAAATCATATTTCCCAAAATTTTTGCACAATCGTCGTAATATTTATTCGAATTCTTTACAAAACTAAATCCATTAACATCACATACAAACGACTGACCATTTGCCCTGAAACAATATTCGTGTCAAATCAATTATTTATTTTTTTTATGATACGAATGGTGAAATTACTTTACATACCTAAGTAAATCAAAACCGCAAACCGTTTGTTTAAAAGCCAGACACACTTTTCTACTGATCAATTTCTCAGCATTACTTAATATAACCGGGTAACGAATTTCTTTTCCCTCTGAATCCCTTTCAACTTTACCATCCAAAGCTGGGCTCTTTCGAGCCTCGGCATGAGCGTAATCCGGACCAACGGTGTAGACCTTGACATCTGTACCATCGGTTGGCATAAAATCCTCGTAAATATAGGAACCAGTTTTACGGACTCGAGATTCTGGTGAATATACACTGCTACGACTTCCAATCTGCAAATGAAAATAATAACTGTTACTCTAATTAAAAATAATTAATCCTTATTCACTTGATTGCTGACCTTTCTGAATAATCTTTGACTACCTCCACCTGCAGATGTAGGATAATAAATATAAATGTTATGATCCTCTGCAGATACCGGTTTTTCCACAAATGGTTTGTTAAATGTGACACCATTAACTTCAACATGATCTTCTGATTCCACCAATTCATGATCTAAAAATGACTTATGGGTTATTAGGATAGAGGAATAGGAAAATATTCATATATTTAATAACATACGTTTAGGATCAGAAGAATCTCTATCCAGAACAGCATATCTTGGAATTTCAATTCCTTCACTTTCTAAGATAGCATAGACTCTTCTACGGTCCTGTAAAATATATTATTCATATAATAACGTTTATCGATATTTGTCATTTATCTCTTACCTGAATATCATACTGCATCGGTAGATTATTAATAATAAAAGGATTTCTAAGATTAGCATAACTTATGGCTTTATCAAGAGGAAATCCCTTGCTATGAAAGCTTATTAAACAATCAACGACCGGCCAATCTTCTACTGATTCCTGTAATTAGATTTCCATTAAATAATAAAAATTCAATGGTTTCTCTAGATTTTACTATTTGTACCTTTAAAATTACTTCCTCAGGGAATACTACTATTTTAATGTATTCGAATTCTTCTAATCTAGTTAAAATCTCCTTCATGGGTTTACTTTGAGACTTTTTTGCCATCGCACAGACTCCAACCAAAACTTGCTTCCCTTCTCCTTCCAGATCACTTCCACCCATGCATCCATCATCATTACTGCACCCGTCCGACAGTTCGGCCTAAATAAGAAATCCAATTAGTGAAATATTACTATCTTTTTATCCATAGACAGATTGTACCATTTTAATTTTTCGATGCTATTATTTCAGCATCTAATACTTTAATCCTAGATAAAAAAGGGTGTAGTTTAATTAGAAAAAAAAAAAAAAAAAAAAAAAAGAAAAACATTAAAGTTCCAAGATAGAAAAATATTGTAGTTGTTAATTGTGTTAAATAGTGCTCACCCAGTATGTGTTTAGACAGGATAAAAAGCCAGAATTGTTAGAAATGTTTTGACAGTAATTGTCATGTAATCTTGTTTGATTATTCATTCTACTACTTATTACAGTCTTTATTTTCCATGCAATTAGGTATAAATGTTAAAGTTCAATCACATATAATATTTGCCTACATAAAAAGAGAAACATAAATGGAATGATGAAAATGTAATTTTCACAGATATTCATTGAAATATCTGATGATCTATCACCTTATAATTTTACTTAAATTATTAAGTATTTATTTCAAACATGATTTCTTATAATAAATTTTTAATTTGATATATTTATTCAATAATACAACATACCACATGCCTACTATAAATTTTGTTAAAGTATACACTCAAAGCAAATTAATATAAAATAATTAAGAAATAAATTTGAAAACACTACCATAATTTGCCAATATGGTTCTGCTTCGTTATCACAATCAAAGATGTAAACATCAGGAACAGTTGTAGATGATGAACAATTTGAAATTTCCATTAATTTTGTTGAACTTTGAAATTTAAACAATGTACATGCAAGTATACAGAAAGATGCAGAATGCATCTAATGAAGGTTTCATACCACTTTATTTTTAGCCTACTATATACTAAAGCAGTATTTTTTCATGAGTCATTCAATCAGTTTTAGGTAGTTAATTAAATATTATTAATTAAACATCGATGAAAATATTATTACACTTAATAGTGAAACATAGATCTTTAATATAAGGTAGTTAACAGACATAATTTTATCTAAGATTTCAAGCAACATAAATATAAACATATTGATGCAATTACATATGCATGATGCAAACTAAATACATGTAATTAATATATAGTTTATGTGTATTTATGATAATTATCAAATAATTTATGCGAATTGAACATACTTTATAAATAATAACAAACATGATTTTTCAATTTCATAGAATTAAGCACAAGACAAGAATGTGCATGTTGTTAATAAACTGATTTTCTAACCTTTGCACAATATGTTTATTAATGCAAAATGAATAACGCACAATCAGTGAACATTTTTTTAAAATACAGAAATTAAATGAATTACATATACTGTTACATGTATATATTTACCATATGATAAAATATGAATACAATAAATATAAAAATCAATACAAGCTTTTTTTAAACTATAAAAACAATATATTTTTGTACATACATATCTACCTTTGGCAAAACATAGAACATAATTCTGTACAGTTTGTGTTGATATACTAAATGCAAGAATAAAACAAAATCTATAAAGTTAGTATAATAACTTTTTCAGTAAAGTGTGCTTTAAAAAACAATTAAATTTTGTCTTATTGTTGATAAAATTATTTATTAGCTTCAAAAAAAAAAATAGAAATTAGTAAAATCAACAAGATTTTTATTGCAAGCAATAAAGTAAACTTACTCTTTTTGATGAACGATATATAGAAGAAGTAGCAGGACCCACAAGGGTTGGTTGTACAGTATTTATATCTCCTACATAGAAAATTGGGCGACTGGCACTCCGTAGACCCTGTTGATTAATTGTTATCTATTTAAGATATCTACATACATATTTCAAGCACAATTGAAGTGAATCATATAATGATTTGATTGCCTAAGATTGATCGCAAAGATTACTAATTATCTATTCTCTACAATTATCATAGTACTATCTAAAGTAACTCACAGTTTATTGAATATTAATTAATGTCTCTTTAAGAATAAATATTATATATTGGTTTTTTTTAAAATTAATTTATTTTAAATGAACATACTTCACATAGAAATAAAACAACTTATATATATAGGTGTGAAATCAGTTGCTAAAAATACTTATTATCAATTAATCCTTTAATTCAAAAGTGTTTTAAAGTGTTTCTTGAAACTGAGTATTATTTCTATTTACCTGATAACCATGTTCCAATTCAGTGTAAGACATGTCAGAACAGGTTTCATTGAGGAAAAAAACTTCTCCAACTTTGATTTAGAAAATACACTAAATTCTGCAATAATTAAACATATTGATTTTTTAATATTAAACTTATAAAAAGACAAGACATTACATTTGTTAGTACATTAGTTATATCTAAATACCAACTGATACAATTATTCTTTGAATAAGTATAACTATTACAAATGTTAGCATACATTATAAAGTGATTGTGTTAACTTGTATTAATTTATTGAGTTTACATACGTTCGTCACTTGCGCTAATAAAAATGTAACTGAAAAAGGTAACCTTGATGATTGATTCTATATTTCTTCTACAAATTCGAATTTAATATGTGACAGAAGTAAGATTGAATCATTTAACATTTTAAACAATAATTAAACATCCTTGAATGCATTTCAACTTTCTTTACTGAAGATTCAAATGTACAATTACAATTTAATTTTTATCTTTTTAATTATGCCGTAACTCTGATTAAACTCACCAATGTTATAAACTTCAAGTGAGTGTTAAATTACAGCTCAGAGAATAACAATAAGAAATTAATAAACAATGTTTAATCTTTGATCGATTTTAAAATTTTTATCAGTGCTCTCCAAGCTCAGACATCTTGTCAAAGTCGAACTTGAGTCTCGATCGCTCGTATGGTTGAAAAAATTTGAAACTGTTATAAATAAGAATTTATTAAAGATATAAGGGTTGATATAAATAACAAATGAAAATCTTGAATTGTGCATTGACTTTATTTTAAATATCATTTATAAAACGTTATTGCATATTTACATTACAATAATTTCGTATTAATTATCAGTTTATTTTTTGCCTTTTTTTCATGGAAAATTTTGTATAATTGTATAATGGGATTTAATTGAGCAACATAATAATGGTACTTTTACACTTGTGCATTAGTTATAAAAAAATATTGACGTATCAAATACATTCTTCTTTAAAAAATGACTTTATTCAAAAATCAATAATCCAGTGAAAATCATTTTCTGAACTTTTAAACCATTTAATTTAAACATTTGTAAATTCATTTAAGTCGCTTACTAATCACTATTTATGTCATTTCCTTCCTAATTCTTAAATATCGGGATAAATACACAAATTCTAATGATAATTGTTTAAATACATAGTGGTAAAAAAGGAATTATATACAAAAGTTGGAACTTTAAAAGATAAAGAAAAAATTTTACAGCAGTTGTGCGTATAATAAAGTGACATTTCATAAAAATGTTTGGAACTATAGTACACATAATGTATAAAAAAGATAAGAAAAATATATTCAAAAGTTTAACGACCTTGTGTATAAATGAAGTGGCAATTTTGTTTTACTAACATTCATGTTCAAACCCGATAGTCGATTGTAATAAAGTATTAATATCGTTTAACTTAATTTTGATGTATAAACTATTATTATCTAACGACGGTAATCAATATCATATTTTATTATGTTATTGCACTAGATTTGTTCTTTAAATTAACTCTAGTTCTTGAATTTGTCTTTACAGACAATATCTACAAGATAATTATAAAATCAACAAGATAGTGAAGTTACTCGTTAAATGTGGATTATAATTTATGCAAAGTTATAAAAGTTAGTTGTTAAAACGCGCATGTTTTAACAGTGCGAATATGAAAATTCGTATGCAAAATTTGTACTAATATCTTATGCACGTAAATATTATCAACATCATCAGTTTTTTGCCACTGACTATTTATAGTCATTTCTTTGAGCCAAACGAATTATGAATTTTTAAGTTTCATCTGGCTGAAGGAATGATATCAGTTTCTTCTGTTTAACTTTTTCATTCTATTTACTATCAGCCCACTGGCCAGACATTAACCGTCATTGCGATTTCATCGATACGAGTTTCCTTGAACGTGCTCGTGCCTCTGTACGAATATTTGTATACTCGAACCAAAGAATATTAGGAATTAACGTTGTATCGCGTAATAGTAGATACTCTGATATCCGCCTGAAAATACAATATTCAATATAACTGATGTAACATCTAAATACAGATAATACGAAACGTACAACATACCATGAAACAACGATAGGAAACATTGGTGTAAGAACTACATGTGTAACTATAAACCATACTATTCCCAATATAATTCCTACGAATGCGCCGCATAAAACTTGAGAAATTGAATGATATAATAAGTAAACCCTACTGTATGTCACTAGAATAGCAATAATTATACAACCAGCTATAATAGTAATTCTCCAAAATCTTTCTGAAATACTGCTATTATTGTTATAATGTAACCTGAAATTAAATGTTGAGAAATTTAGTAAACATAGCATGGTATAAATCTATCATTGAAGTAACAGCAAATTACCTGATGCATATAAAAAGTGTTATGTATGCAGCAAAGAACCACATAAACTGTGCATGCATCGATGGCATACCATATTCAACATAGATGCTGTCTCTTCTCATAGGTCTTGCTTCGCATATTGTATGTTTCAATATAAAATTTATAAATTCATTAATTATAACTCCGCTAAAAAATACAATCTGAAAAAATAAAAAAATGAAAGGAGTGTTTTACACAGTTTTAATGTTCTTCAAATTTATACTTACTGTATGTAAATCTCTTCTAAAGAGAATCAAAGTTATAAAACCAGCTATGATAGCAAAAGGTATCAAGCTTATTAGAGCTAATAATTTTCCAAAAACATCACCTGAAAAAGAAGAATATTTAGAAAAATTCAAACAGAAACACCATAAAAACATTGTCTTAAAATCATATATAAATATCCAGGGATAAGAAAATTACAAAATTTCCATATTTTTCAATTATTTACACATACAATGCAATATAAATATTGTAGTATTCTTTATCTTCAGTCTCTCAAGTATGCGCATAAACTTCCAATAGATGAGAAATATTTATTAAAGCGTGTCTAACAAGAGAAAACAAAGCTTTTATATAAAATATGTGTATAATTACATTACAAAAAGTGAAAGGAATAAAAATAAGATGATTAACTGAAATTTTGTTGGAAAATTCAAAAATACTTGCCTTGGGGATATTCGACTAAAGTAAGAGATAAAGGAACCCATTCTGGTTTTTCGACAGCATCTATGAGACGTGATTTAACTTGATGAAATAATTCGTCGTCTAACGATGCCATGTTACCGAAATTTTTGAAGTGACCATAACTCGGACAACTCACCGCGCAGCAACAATCATGGAATCCAAGGAATAGTGGTAGAAGCTTGACAGTAATATCATTGTATATATAGTTTAACAAGATTTGACAAAAAATGTTTTTCCTTGATTCTTTCTAGTAATTATCCATTTGACCAATCACACTTCTTATCATTTAATTTTTTTTTTTAAACTTATGATTAGTCTCATTTTATACTTTATAGGCAAGTCTGTCAATACACTAATGTTAGTAACACTAAAACTATATATGATGGATCATTTTTCTGTTAAAAATATTTTTTTTTTTTTTAATTGATATATTTTGTTATTGTTAATATTTGATATGTATTTTTTTCTGTTACAGTATATAGTGTATAAAAGTACGTTTTAATCGCATTAATAAATGTTATATCTTGTTGCATTGTATAGTGATTTAAAAAAGAGAAGTCACTATTTGCAAATAGTGCATAACACGTTTATACACGTTTCGTACTGCGCAAGAAGCGGGAGAGGTAGCAAATCGGATAGTTGCGTGCTGTTTTATTCGGTGTTTGCTTCCTGTTTGTGGTATGAATTTTGGTTGTGATGTGATATAATTTACGTTTTGTTTCCGTTACATTTCTTTACCGTTTTATATATTTTCCAGAACTTCTTAAAAACTACTTACGTTTATCTTACATTTGACGAAGTCTTGTGTGCTTGTGCACCCGACAAAAATTTTTTACTGTATAATGGGTTAATATTTTAGGTAATGTACATACAATTTTCTATATATTTCATTACACATTATTAATGTTGCATCATTTTTGTATCTTTTTTATAAAACATAATGTTGACTTCATAAGTTTTACAATAAATCTTTTCTTATTTTTTGTTATTGTTAATTCTGTATTATTTTGTTTGTAGCTTTTACATTGGAATGTTATATGACATCTTATAAAACACATGGCAGACCAGGATAGTACAAATTATCATGCACTTTGTGCAAATGATGATGATGAAATTGATGGTCTAAACAAGAGGTTGTTACAGTTGTTGTCTGCGACAAAGACTCCATCAAAAACTGATATTAAAAGTAGCACATCCGAACCATTGTGTAGTTTTAATAATGATAGTAATAGCCTCAGAGATGAAAATAAAGCATCTATCAGTTCCCCGATGCTTAGTCATTATAAATATGACTGTTCCTTTTCGCATCATGACATGCCAGTTAATTTGTCAACCATGCCAAATTATCTCCCTCCTATTGGAGTATTCTGGGACATAGAAAATTGTCATGTTTGTATTTAAATAAAACTCTATTCGTTGAGAGTGTTATTTCAGGATTTGTATCAAAGATGTAAATCATTGCAGGTTCCAAAAGGAAGGTCTGCCATAGCTGCAACGCAAGTAATTAGGGAAAAATTTTTTAGTGGTTATAGGGAAGCAGAATTTATTGTGGTTTGTGATGTTTGTAAAGAGAATAGTCAGGTTGTAAAAGAATTGAATGATGCTCAGGTAAACTTTTTAAGGATATGCAATATTTGATTTTATTTTTCTCTATAATATATTCAGTGTATAAATTATCTTAGGTCAATCTAATACATGTTGCTAAAAGATGCAAAAATGCTGCTGATGAGAAGCTTAAACAATCTATTAGGAGATTTGCTGACATTCATGGAAGTCCAGCAGCTGTAATTTTAATATCTGGCGATATTAATTTTGCTGCTGATCTTAGCGACTTGCGTTATAGAAAGAAAATTCATGTGATACTTTTACATATGAAGAACACGTCTGAAGCATTAATAGTATGCGCTAATGAGCATTATGACTTTTTAGAACTTATGGAATCACTGCCGTCCAGAACTGTAAAGGTGAACCGATTCGTTAATATCTAAATTTTTTTCACAGATATTGTAAGTTTCTTATCCTATTTTCTATAAATATTAAATAAAACTCATGTTATTTTCAGGTTGCTGCACATTATGACCTTCTAGTTAGTAACCTTCCTGAAGATCAAAATGTTATATCAATTAAACGTCGACTCAAACAATTGTCCGAAAATTGTGGCGGCCGAGTAATAGAAATTCAATCAAATACTGCAACTGTGCGCTTCACTTCAAAAATCTTTGCAATCAGGTCTGTGTATACATTGATTCCTGATTCTATGAATGTTGTTTTGTGCCTGTGAAATGTACAAATTATAATAGTTATATATTTAAATCGAAGTATTTCATTATGACACTAAAATATTCACTCTAGCATCATTATAGTATACAAATAAGCAATAATACAAAGACTTCCATATTCGAATGGCCCGCTCTTTGTAACCAATAAGATATTCCTAGTTAGAAATAATCTGTTGGTCTATTTACCATTAGTAAAAAAAAAGTAGTAGGGATAAGTACATAAATAGGGTAAAATTCAAACAGTGAACAGCAATGTAACGAACATAGTGGCACTGTAAGGAACTCAGAATTTTGATTCGTATAACGTATTTCGTGTATGTGTGCAGTAGAAATTAATGTTAAAAAGTTATTATCTTCAATATATTGTTATTATTTATCGTTTTTATTTATTCGTATTATAATGCTGACACAATCTAATGATTTTATTTACATGTAAGGTAAGTTGAAGAATACATACATTTAGCAACAGTTGTTTCAATTAGAGGAAATAAGAATTTAACAAACCATATGTGTTTAATAAGATCCATAAAGGTTTTTTGAAAAATTAACCGACGTTTCAATTTGTACCATAAATGTATTGAAATCTTCAAGGTCATTTATAGATCAGAGTATCTTTGGCCCATTGTAATTACGGTAGGCAACTTTGCTTAATAACAATATGAACTTTTTTTTTGTAGGGCTCAGAAGCGTATGGATGGAGAAATTGTCCTTGGTTCGAAAATTTGTGTAAAATTTCAAAAGGAGAAAAGAAGTAATTTTCATAAAATTCAAGGTATTCTGTTACATGTATTGTTTGTTGTTTTCTTCTTCTTCTTCTTCTTCTTCTTTTTTTTTTTTTAATTGGAGCAGTCATAATAGGAACAATAACGTGATGGTGTACCTTTATAATTCTAGGATATTCTACAGGGAGAAACAGTACTGTAAGCGATTCAGAAATTGTTACTAGTTCTCCTAAACAAATGTATAGTGCAGGCACTTCGATAACGGGCGGAAGGACCCTTCATATTCCACATTATCAGTCATCATCGCCGGTTATTGGAACATATTCCGGATGGAGTGCCCATTGTGCTCCAGTTTCAGTGCCACCGGGGTAATTTCAAACCTTCTAATTCCACGTGCATAAATAGTAGTTACACATGATGAAAATTCGGGAAAGAGCCTTGGAGTCGCGAGTAGACATTGTCCTTGCATGATTCGGGCAATGAGACTAAAGAAGCTTTGATCTTATCTGATTTAATATCTATCAAAAATAGCAGCAGTTGTTATAAATTTTTGATAATTTAACATTTCTCCCCGTTCCTCTCTTACAGAATGCTCCAACCACCACCTGTCTATGTTGGGAGACCATATTCGAATAATAGTAATGTAAGTTTTAATAGAAATTATAATGAACTATCAAGGGTCCAATCTCCACTGCTTTGGCAAGTCTCTGGTTCTCAACAATTTAGTCATATGTGGGAAGAGCAGTATAAAGTATGTAATTTTATGAAAATCAATTTTATAGAATATGAGAATGTTGTGTATCATTATTGTTTCATGAATTAATTCATGAATTTCAAGGTGGAGAAAACGAAAGTACTTAGTAGAAGAATTCATATCCCGCAGGTTCGGGATAATGGAGTAGCGAGTAATACATCTCGAACTCCAGAGAATTTAAGACGTATCAGAGGAACGCACACGTCCTTTGTTCAACCCTCTGAATGGGTTGGATCAAGACAACACCCTCCATTAAATACTTCAGTAAATTTCAATGGAACTGGTACATAAATTAATATCCTATTAGGTGTTTTGATTATTATAAGATCTTAATAGTGATTTGTTCCTTTTTTTCTTTACTCCATAGTTCATTCTCAATCAAATTTTAAACGTCGCAGTCCATCTCCAATGTGTGATATACAACCACGAGAACGCCAACAGTGGAATGGACAGGTAAATTACTAAACACAAAAATATTTAAATTCGTTTTAATACGTATTATGTAATTTTTGTTTAAGAATCAACACTCTGTATCTATGCGAAGTTCTAGAACGCCTTCACCTTATGAAAATACAGTACAAACAGGAAACCAGCAAAACAGTCATACTTCACCTTACCATCTAGGTGATACAGAAAATGATGAAGTTGAGGTATAGTCATTTCTTTTAAATCTTTCATTACTTTTGAAATTTTATAATAATCTCGCACTTTGTCTTTTAATCTGTTAGAAATTTTTCAACCCGATAAACAATCATAATGGCTCTTCGATGAGCAACGAAACGTGTACGCCTATAGAATTGCAAGTAACTAATTTAGACCAAAGTATTAATCCAAAGAAAATGAGACACATGCTTGCCTCTATTTTCTTGGAACACGTGATGGTAAATACTTGTTGACATAGTTATATTATTATAAATGTAAATAATTCTCAACTTATTGATTCTTTTTTTTTTTCTTCTTCTTCTTTTTAGGTGTTAAATGTTTCTATGTTCACACAATCGGATGGTAACTTTGCAGCAAGCGTGAAAGTACCTTCATTATCAGACGCGCAGTATGCAATTTCTCAATTACATCGGCGTAAAGTAGGATATAAACGTATTTTGATAGCGTATGCTCATAGTGGCAGAGCAAGTCCTCAGGTTGTGCGAGCACAGATCGTAATGTTACTGCAAGAAGTACCCGGCCATAAACTTCCTCTTTTCAAATTCCGGGAAATGTACGAGAGCCGTTTCATGATTTCCATCAGCGTCTCCGAATTGTATAAGATGAAAGATGTTTGTATCGTGACGGAAGATCCTGGTGGTAGAATGGTATCCCTTAATCCGGATCACAGGAACACTCCATCGCCATGTTTCAATACTACAACTCAGGTATTTTAAATCTATTAATTCGTTGCATAAATACCATAAAAATTTATAATGATGTATATCAAGCCGAGTTCGAGTTTTTCCAGTAAAAGTAGAGTCGTTATTCCTTTTACTGTTGAGAATTTGTGACGATGACCCTAAGCGATAAAAATATTCTGAAACAAATATGTTAATATAGCAAATCATATATATTTATATATATTAATTTCATACAAAATATAAGTTATGTATTTAATTATTAGGAGGAGCAAGTAGAGCTCCCATATTGTACTATTCATACGTTAAAACCGTGGTCGGATAAAGGATGGGCTGAGCAGAAAGTAGCGTCACTTCCGAATGTAAAAATTTCATTAAAACTTCTTGATCCACGTATACATCAGTTACTTATCACGCACAATGGAAGTTTACCATTACCTAGGTATATATTATAAATATTTTCATATAAAGTTCCATTGTGTTTATTCATTTAGTAATTTGCGATGAATAATTTCAGTTTGCCAAATTGTTACGAGGCCGAATTTAAAGAGAAATTAGAAGTCTGTGAAAATGGAGTACCTTTAGAACACTTAGTATCTTGTTTATCGTGCGTTGAATTGAAACAAGGTATTGGTAGTGTAAAATATCTTATTTGGACGGGAAATAAAAGTCACGATAACAACCACGAAGGTAAGTAACATTCTTCAGCCACAAGTAATTAATTAATTATACACCATTCCTCTTTTCAGAAACAAAATGCGTGAGTCCTCCGCTTGCAAATCAATTATCACTTTTTAGCCGTGAATTAGTCGATCTTTTAAAAACTGCTCCACATTGCCAATTGCCATTTAATCGATTTATACCTGCGTACCATCATCATTTTGGAAGACAATGTAGAGTGGCTGATTATGGATTCACTAAACTTATCGATTTATTAGAAGCTCTTACTCATACAGTACAAGTAAGTGAAAGGGAAAGAAACTTCAACTTGTTGAAAATCATTTACCATGTTTAAACTGTTCATTTTAGGTAATGGGCGAAGGAAACAATCGCGTGGTAACATTATCTCATCGTGCACAAGTACGTCGTTTTACGTCTGATCTGCTAAGAGTTTTAAAGTCTAAAGCCAGTAAACAAGTAGTGCTTTCAGAATTTCCAAGTGTTTATTCCAGAGTAATAGGTAAGGCTTTTTAAATTTCGTCAAATAATGATAATGTAAATATTATGAATATAAAAACATGAAAATATTTTATACAGCTAAACCATGGGATATCGTGGATTATGGTGTATGCGAGATGGAAGATATTCTTAGCGAGGTATCAGAAAATACTGTTGTGGTTACTACGGTCAACGGTGGAGATAAAATGATAGCAATTCCTAAACGGGAACAAACTGCGGAAGAAATTGAGCGAACGAAACAATTTGCTGTAGAGGTAAAATATAAGTGCATTAAAAATATTCTAAGGTCAGGCTCATTATAACAAAAGTGTAATCATTTTCACTCAGGTTGTAGAATTATTGCGACACGCGCCTCAGTGTAGGATGCAGTTCAATAAATTTGTGCCATCATATCATCATCATTTTGGTCATCAGTGTCGTGTATCAGATTATGGTTTCACTAAATTAATCGAACTATTTGAAGCTATACCAGATGTGGTGAAAATAGAAGACGATAATTCTGGTGAAAGACAAATTTCTTTAACAGAGAAAGAAGGTCTTCGTGTGCTTTCTGAACAGATATCAAAGTTAGTTACGCGATCAAAAGGTTGCCTTAGCATTTCAAACATCGCGCAACATTTCCTAAGACAATTTGGTTATGCATTGAAACCAGAATCGTTCGGATGTTCCTCTGTAATGCAACTAATGCCAAAACTTGGAAGTACCGTAAAGGTATTAAGGTGAACAAATTATAAATTTATCTTCACATCGAAATAATATATTTATAAATTGATCAATTACTTAGATTATGTATTTGACGACCGGACCGGCAATTGTAATGGTAGATAAATCTCATCTGCAACAATTGACTCTACAGTGTCGTCGGATGTTGATGGATAAACCCCAATATAAGATGTCAGTCAAGGAGTTTCAGCAATTATATATTCAGCATTACTTAAAATCGTGCAACATAGAGGAACTGCAACAAAACTTGTCTGATGTAGTTCAAGTAAGTTACAATTTCATTTGAGTAGATATGTTTTTTAGCAAAAAATTCTTTTAAACTCTACGTGAATACAATTTCAGTTTACAACGATGAATGACGAAGAATTTATCCAACTTACTCCATTACATTCATTCGCTTGTAATTTATATCGTGTAATGATGAATTATGGTGGAACATTGAAATTTTCACAGTTTGAAACTGCGTATTTATCTACTGTTGGTTGTGTCTGTAAACCAGCAGACTACGGTTTTCCAACAATTTTCTCACTTCTGCAAGCTCTACCTTGTACAGTAACGATAAAACTGTCACGGCGAAAGAAAAGTATCATATATCTGAACAAAAAAATAGCCGGTATGTAAATGATACACGTGTAATTATGTTAAATATTAATCAAGTTACAAACGTTTAAATTTATTTCATAAACAGCTGCTGGTATATCATTACCACCAACCTATACATCAGCATCGTCGTATCGTGATACGGATTCTAGTAACGAATCATTTGAAAGCGATTCGTCTTCTCGTGTCAACACTTTAAATAATTCGGTTGCAACAGAAAAGCGTGCAAAGTGGACAGGACAAACAGGCGAAAATCAGAATTCTTGGAAAGAGACAGATGAGAATAATTTGTGGGTGAAGGAATCGGAGAGATCATGGAAATCGTCAGCTTCAGAGAATCAGTTAGTCAGTTGGTCATTACAGGAAAATGGAAGCGAAAGTTTTCTTAAAAACTTGATGCAGACATCAATTACATCGCGTGGTTTTCCACCTCCACCTCCTAAACCAGATTCTCCACCTGAGGTATTTTTTAAAACAGAACATTCGTGTTACACGCGTATATCCTTTTCCTTTAAATATATAATTCATGAATTATATACAAATTATAGGGAAACTTGAACAAAAATCAATGGGATTCATCTGTTTGGATGACTCCAACAAAGTTTACATATTCACAGGATGAACATACTACCAATGTGCAGGTAAATATTATCAGCCTTATCAGTTGAATTTATGATTTCATTATTTTTTATATCGATAGGTTCCTCCTATTACATTACCTCCTTCCTGGAATCAACTCGTGTCTAGTGATAGCGCATCTAATTTATTATCACCAACAAGGAACTTATTACCTGCTGCAGCAAATCCTTTAAACCCACGTACTTCACCCTACTATTCGTCCAAATTTAATTTAGTCGTTGCTCCTCATCCTTCTGAGTTGCCACTTCCTTCGTTATCCTTAACTCCTAAAAAAGGTGTATCATCGGGAAACGTTACAACCGATGAAACTTCGATGAATAAGTTAGAAAATACTGTCAATAATTCAACGGAAGAAGCGAGTGTCAAAAGTAATGGAAACGATAGCAGTAACGTGGAAGATGATAACGATAAGGAAAAATACAGTACTTCTATAAAGCAGTGTAAGTAATACATGTGCATTACGGTAACTCATTATTGTTTGTATTTGCAATGGCTAAAAGGAGAAAACATAATTTTTACAGTATTTACGAGTAAACGTCGTTTAGCTGCTCAGTTTAATCGACCTATCGAGTCGTGAATGATAAAGTCAGATACGAAAAAAGTGTACAAACGCACCAGGTACGCTACAGAAGCGAAGAAACTGACATCGAAAACGTCATGTAGTGTGTTAATGTGATTAATTAAAAAAAAAAGAAAAAAAAGAGGAGGAATTTATAACATCTCGGTAGGCTGTCACACTGCGGGACAATACCTATACACCATTCCCCGAATGATGGTAGGTACCCCTCATTTATATTTAAAATATACGGTAGTAATATCGATTTGATACATACAGAATAAAAAGAACAGAATTTATTTTCAAGAAGTATGAAAATATACATATATATAAATATCTATATACTAAGTGATTATGATTTCTGGTTTGAAAAGTATAAATAAGTGTGCGGCGTTTATACCGAGTGATATACACTGATTGTATTATGTATCAAATTCATGTAGCATTTTTCATACTGTGATATAGAATAGAGAAAGTGCAAATGATATGTAATAATACACGAAAATAAAATTATAAATGGGTAATAATTGTACACGTGTCGTAGGATTGGGTCAGAGTCATTCAATAAGTCTTATTTATTTCTTCATTGTACTGAAAATATAACTTCAACAAAATTATCCATGAAACCATATGATATTTTGAAAATAAAGTTTCGTTTATTATTCATACTTAATGTTACATAACAAAATACGTGTCAATTGAAACTTTATTGGCTCAACCCTATTGTAAATTATTATCAGAGAATTGTATTCAGAAAATGAAGATCATTAAATTATTTATCTCAACAATCACGTTATTAACAGTTGCAGAATTGAATGTAATTCATTCTTTTTATTGTGTATTCATTTACTATGTATTTTTATTTGTACAATTATTTTTCCCATTCGCGTTTGAGATTTTCATTCATTACTGTCTGTTCGTTTTTACGGTATACATGATTTTTTAATTATATTGTGAATGATTGTGTATGATATTTTGAAGTGTTATCCTATTTTGTTGTATACATGAAAATACTTTTAACTAAGGAAATGTTTATTGAACTTAAATATAATAGTCACTATTAATTAGCTCAAAATCGCAAAAATGGAAGAACCGTATGATGTTATAAAATGAAATTTTTTATTGAGATTAATTCGCTGAAAAGGATTGTTAAAACGTGACAAATAATTAAATGTTTTATCGAGTGTCAGACAGCCAGAAGAATGCAAAAAAAAAAAAAACAATTGTATCAATCAGATTGTAGCATCTAATGTTACTTTTAGTAATGATACTATTTTATTAGAATGTTTTCTGTTTTCAGTATCAGCTGAGAAAGATTAGAAAAAAAAAAGCTATTATTTATTCATAATGGCATTGATTATTTAAAAAAGAAAATATGCGATTAGTAGATGTAATGCACGATGCAAGTGAATCTTTTTGAATAATGTGTAAATGATCTCATGTTTTACTTTATTTTTAAAAAAGCGTTTTATCGGAAATAATATATGCGTAGAATTTCGCAAACGCGAGGGAGCCTGGATCAGAAATATTAGATATGAATCGCTAGATTTGTGCACAATAGTTGCCACAGTAAATAAATACTCTAGGTTCGGTACATTGCTTGATACATCGCCAAAAATATAAAAGTATAATGATGAATTGATCTGTTTGTATTAAATTTACGTGATTCATTAAACGACAATCATATATTAGTATTTTAGGGTTTTAGGCTTCCTAAATTCAATTTTGTATTAATTTATTTAACTGGAATGAAGTAACTATGTTTATATGTTACTATATTTATTACATAGGAATGAATTCTATTGTATTTTATATTTATATGAAAGAAATGATCATTTTTTTAATTTGCTTTTTAAACTTCACGAATTTTCCAGTTTAGATTTTCTATTAGTCATACTAATTTTTTGAAAGATTTTTATTCTATGAATTCAATCTTAGTTAGAGGTACTCATAATGTATGGCAAACTTTATCTATATATATATATATATGTATAATGTATAATAGCATTTTGACTAATAGGAAATTAAATTGGTCTTTATGCAAGAAATACCAAAATAAAATATTGTAACAATTTTATAAAAAAATTTTATTGTAATAACAAAAACAAACAAAATTGTAAAATATAAGTAATCAATGGAATATTCTGAACAGGTATATTTAATAAAATAATTTGTTACAATACATGTACAATAAATGTTTTTATATACTGTTAAAATAAGGAATCAATAAAAATAAGCCAGTTGAGAAACATGGAAAATAAATGTTTTATCATGAATATTTAATATTAATTATGTATTAGTTGTTACAAAAAATTAATGATATACCATTTCCAATTTGATAAATTAATTTATTTTATGTTTTACAGAATATCTATACAATGATGCAAACACAGCTTTATAACAAACTGAGATGTATGTTTCACATCAGTTAACAGTCTATACATACTTATCATTCATACCGCTACCAACAGGACCGTGTCTTCGTTCCCAAATCATACGATGCTTTTGTTTCATAAATGCACTACGTGCATCCAACTTTATACCAAGATCACCATCTGTTTTTTAACAAAACATTACAGTTAAGTGAGTTGTATAATGCTACAATCATATTCTTATTTAATACTGAATAAATTATGTAACATGCAATATGTTAAATAGTAATTTAATGAACTCTGTAAACTCATACATTTTATAAACCAGTTCTTGGCAGCATCATCATATGTTTTATATAAATCACTACAAAGTTTCTCCGAATCTTCACCGTGTACCCAACAACAATGTTCATAGCGGTTTCTTAATATACTAAGTATTTCATCTTCCACCATTCTGACAAGAGTAAAATGTAACAAAAGAAATATGATATTACAAGAGAGAAGCATCGTGAAAAAAAACATTAAATGTATGTAATTAATAAAATATTTCATACAAGAATTTATGATTAAAGAAAGACTCACTTATCACGTTGAAATTGAGAATTTGCTTCTTGCAAACAAACTATGTCGAGTTCATAACATTCGTCGATTGTTGGAACACGACGAAATTTTTGATGATACCATGGATACTTCTTTTGATTCGGTACGACAATTGTTTCTGTCAACAATTGAAAATATATGTTGTTAACAATTATTTCTTTTTACATTTAATGCGATGGTAACATAACCAAATGCTCGATTAGATAATACCTCGGAAATAGTCGATTGGCGTATCCAGTACATATGTCAACGTTTTTAAAAGGCGGGCTATCACATTTGATTCGGGTTCCATATTTTATAGTCAATACACCGAACACAATTAGGGAACAGGAGTTATTTAATTCATTAACAACCTATTTGAAATTACAGAATCCCCAGTTCAAGGACCACGGAATAAGAACTCTAAAAAAACTACACCATCTTTCTTATAGTCAATTCAGTATTGGTTAATGGAACATATATGAATTATGTGAGTATTATAAATTTTAAATAAATACGTAATTGCAATTAAGTATTATAAACAAAGTATATTCAATATTTTTTATTGTTAAATATTTCAAATTCCTAGGGGTATTTCTTTCAACAATATTGGTGATCTTGGTTCACTCGCCCGGCTATAAAAGGAAACTTCCGGAAGTGTTTCCTCCATTTTCATCGGTGTTAAGAAGATGGTAAGTATGGCGACGTTGTCGCTCTTTATTATAAATTTACAAATTCTATCGTAATCGTGTTCCGTTTTAAATATATAAGATAAGATTCAATAATTGTATTTATCTTGTTTTTAATATTATAAAAATTAGAAATTCATCTTTGACTAACAAATCAATTAAAATATCTTGTTAGATCATTGTAAAGGAACATACCGCGTGGCATACATGTGCTTGATTAAATGATGATTTAGAATAAAAAGTTTATGGTTTTAAACTGAATAACTTTGAAGATAAATTCTAGGGCGGTCTGATTTTTATAATATTTATTGAAATAATTTTTAGTACTTATCACATATACTATATTTAACGTAAAATTTGTTATTCAGTCACATAGAAAGTTCAGTGCACCCCGTCATGGGTCTATGGGATTTTATCCCAAGAAGAGATCCCAGAGGCATCGCGGTAAAGTTAAGGCCTTCCCTAAGGACGATCCGAATAAACCCGTTCATTTAACGGCTTTCGTGGGTTACAAGGCTGGTATGACCCACGTGGTTCGTGAAGCTGATCGTCCGGGATCAAGTGAGCAGATACACGATTTTAATTATGTCATAGTTGTAAAATAGTTTTATTACTTAACGTGTTCTCTGCAACGAAGGTTCGATCAAACACTATTGCGTGTTCGTTAGCCAACCCTTCAATTAACAGCAATTCCAGCGTATCGCTATACGCATGGCAGAGAACGCGTTAATAATATTAATCGACACGATGGCTAACGTTTGATAAGTACAGCAATGTGTTGGTCAACTTTAGTCGCGGTACAAGAGCTGCTTGATATTGTGCAGTATGGTCTAAACCGCAGTGTCGAAGAACAACTCTGTGCACTGCTTACGCGGTAGCAAGGAGGCAAGGCATATTCCATATTCTCATTGGAACCCATTGGGTGATGACCATTGAGACAAACCATGTCGGGCACAGTTCTTTAATGCTAAGTAATACTTGGCTTTATTAATTACTAGAGTTATAATTGTATTTTTTATACGTTCTCAGAGGTAAACAAGAAAGAAATTGTGGAAGCAGTTACTGTTCTTGAAACTCCGCCCATGATTGTGGTTGGTGTAGTTGGGTACATTGAAACCCCGCATGGTCTGCGTGCTCTCACTACAGTTTGGGCTGAGCATTTGTCTGAAGACTGTCGTAGAAGATTCTATAAGAACTGGTAAGAGAAATAAATATACACCAATCATGTTGTATTTCAATCCTTTAATATCCCAAATATTAATTATATAAAATTATTACGCAACACATATTAAAATCAACTCTCAATCAGCTCTCCGCTCGTTTTGACGAGAGCGCATGTTTGGATTTAGCCTGAAAAGCGAAATGTTCTTTGAACGGCTATTCCAAAAAGTGTGTACAGTCTCCGCTCGTTACGATGAGACTGGCACGTTACAGATGGATGCTAAGAGTATATATTTAAATGGAAAAACAGCCATTACGGTTACTTTTCTGCAGGTACAAGAGCAAGAAGAAGGCATTTACAAAGGCTTCTAAAAAGTGGCAAGATGATCTTGGTCGTAAATCCATTGAGAGCGACTTGAAAAAGATCATTAAGTATTGCAAGGTCGTACGAATCATTGCTCATACTCAGGTAATTGGATTCTTACTGAATTTTATAAATTATTTAGTACACGATTTATAATGGCCGTTTTTAAACAGATGAAACTGTTGAGACAACGACAAAAGAAAGCTCACATCATGGAAATTCAATTAAATGGTGGAACTATTGAACAGAAGGTTCAGTGGGCACGTGAACATCTAGAAAAGCCAGTACCTGTTAACAATGTCTTTGCTTCGGATGAAATGATCGACGTGATTGGTGTAACAAAAGGAAAAGGATACAAAGGTGCGATTAATAATCCTTCTTTCTTGTCATCAAAATTGCTTTTAAGAAATTGACTAAATGATGAGGAAACGTGATGGAGATTTCTGACCGTTTTGAGGATAATATCATGTTGCCTTCCTACTGAAGTCCTTGATAATAAAACATTACTTTTCATTATCCTTGATTTTAAATAAATACATTTTTGAAACATGTATGATCTGTTACAGGTGTTACATCGCGTTGGCACACAAAGAAATTGCCACGTAAAACGCACAAAGGTTTGAGGAAGGTTGCTTGTATCGGAGCTTGGCATCCAAGCCGCGTGTCCTTCACGGTTGCACGTGCTGGTCAAAAAGGATATCATCATCGTACGGAGATGAACAAGAAAATCTATAGAATTGGGCAAGGAATTCATACAAAAGATGGCAAGGTACATATTTGTTATATTTTTCATGTAGGAAAACCTTGCCTTCTTCCCTATGGTTAATCTTCCTAATCAATGAGGATTAATAACATCATAGGAGGCAAAGACAAACAGCTTGCGTGTCATAGTACCTAAATGATCTGTCGATTATGCTTTAGGTCTCCAAAGCAAGCGACAAATACATATTTCTTAACTTCAGAAAGAAGTTCTTTTAAGATTACTCGCTAAATTTGTGATGTTTATTTTAGATCGTGAAGAACAATGCATCAACGGAGTACGATCTTACAGAAAAAACCATAACTCCTATGGGTGGTTTCCCTCACTATGGTGAAGTGAATAACGATTTTGTTATGATTAAAGGATGTTGTATGGGACCAAAGAAACGTGTAATCACGTTACGTAAGGTAACTATTAAAGTTGATTTTTGTTTTAATAGTTGCATTATTAATTTTGTATGATGAATACGTAAAGAGCCAAATGTACATGTTATGAAATTAAAATGATATTAAATGATAGGACTGACAGATAAAATAGAATTTAAAGTAGCGTGCAATTAGTGTACTTAAAATATAATTGAATATTTTTTCCAGTCATTGCTGGTGCACACTAAACGAGCTGCATTGGAGAAGATCAATCTGAAATTCATTGATACCAGCTCCAAATTTGGACATGGTCGCTTCCAAACAGCAGCTGACAAAGCTTCGTTCATGGGTCAGCTTAAGAAAGATCGAATTCGTGAGGAACAGGCACAAGCTACAGCCTCAGCGCCTTCAGCTGCGGCTGCTCAATAAAATTTATATTGCATATTATAAAATATATGCACTGAATAATAAAAAGTTTTATGAAAATAAGAAATAGCGCCTTTATTCTTTTACATACCCTGTTCTTATAGAAATCCTTTTAATAACACGGAATTATATGTGTACTATTACAATGATAGTAGCACAGTATTGATCCAGCATCAAATTTTTGTTAAAAATTTAAAGTAAAGATTATTTACGTTAACTTTAAGACATTCGTTGAATCATGACCACTTCATTAGCGCCAGTGTCGGTCGCCGTGGGGTTTCAAGAACCCCAAGTGGCAGTAAACGTAATCTTTAATTCATTATAGGCGGGGTCCTCGACACCCTAATTAAATACACTTGGGGCTCCAAGAACCCCAGGCGCCAATAAACGGAATTTCCATTTGCGTCTACGCGGGGTCCTAGACACCCCAGTCGAATGCGCTTGGGATCCTCAAGACCCCAGCCGAAATGCACCTGGGATCCTCGAGACCCCAGTCGTAATGCGCCTGGGATCCTCAGGACCCCAGTCGAATTGTGCTTTGGGGTTTCTAGGACCCCAGTCGTAATGCACCTGGGATCCTCAAGACCCCAGTCGAAAGGTGCTTGGGGTTTCTAGGACCCCAGCCGAAATGCACCTGGGATCCTCGAGACCCCTGTCGTAATGCGCCTGGGATCCTCAAGACCCCAGTCGAAAGGTGCTTGGGGTTTCTAGGACCCCAGTCGTAATGCACCTGGGATCCTCCAGACCCCAGTCGTAATGCGCCTGGGATCCTCAGGACCCCAGTCGAAAGGTGCTTGGGGTTTCTAGGACCCCAGCCGAAATGTGCATGGGGTTTCTAGGACCCCAGTCGTAATGCACCTGGGATCCTCGAGACCCCAGTCGAATGCGCTTGGGATCCTCAAGACCCCAGCCGAAATGCACCTGGGATCCTCGAGACCCCAGCCGAAATGCACCTGGGATCCTCGAGACCCCAGTCGAATTGTGCTTTGGGGTTTCTAGGACCCCAGTCGTAATGCACCTGGGATCCTCAAGACCCCAGTCGAAATGCGCCTGGGATCCTCAAGACCCCAGTCGAAATGCGCCTGGGATCCTCGAGACCCCAGTCGAAATGCGCTTGGGGTTTCTAGGACCCCGGCCAAACTACTGCGCAACCAGTTCTGCGCAGATTACTGCGCAACCACTTCTGCGCATACGCGCGGCAATCTACTGCGCATACTATTCTGCGCAGATTTCTGTGCCACCAACTTTGATTTTGATGTGCTCCTAATACCCACATACACTGTCTACATTATTTGCAAATTTCTAAGCTTGTAGATTGTTAATCCGTACAACATAGGTATCGATAGATTGCTACAAGTCTGCTCTATCGTTTAAAATTAGAAAAATTCATAAAATGTGTTTGATTCATCAAAAATTAATGAGAAATGCTACAGTAAGCTACAACAAAAGGTCGAACATAAATAATTATTAATTATTACGTTTAGACGCCTCAAATGCTTGCAAATCTGATATAATAAATTCATTTAAACCTTGCTCGTTCTAATGCAGTCATAAAAGTGCACAAAATATTTCTAGAAATCGAAAAATTAATAAAAATTAGAGGGCACGCATTGTGATGCGCATGCTCCAATACCGTGATTACAAGAATCGATGTTTATTAAATATTAACGCAATAAATATCGCTAAAAATGATTAAAGAATGTAGTTCGATCTTTCCGCTTTCTATTCCGACTATAAAATGTTATAAATTGTTTCTATTTTCAGTAAAATTAATAAAAATTGGAGGGCACGCAATCTGACGCGTATGCGCCAATATGGTGATTACAAGAATCGATGTTTATTAAATATTAACGCCCCAAATGTTATTGAAAATTATTAAGGAATGTAGTTTGAATCTTCCTCTTTCTTCTCCAATCCTAAAGTGTTATAAATGGTTGCTATTTATGGTAAAATTAATGTAAATTCGGTGTGTGTTTTATACGAATCGTAGCCACATCGTTACTACAAAAATGACTAATAACTGAGTAATTACAGCAAAGATATGCACAAAGGAGATATGAGAAAATTGGGCAGACATTATTTTTTGAGAATAAATTGTAAAAGTTTACTTTCCAATAGCCATTAATGAGGAATTAACGATTTTTGTATATCCTGTATAACCTGTATGTTGCGGGTCGGTCTACTGCGCAGCCGGTTCTGCGCAGCTGCGCAAAAGATCACGGCGCATGCGCAAACTCGTGCCACCTCTTCGCATATTCTATTATCCTGATACCAGGAGTAGTTTTCGGACCGTAGGTTCCCCCACTCCTCCGCCACAAAAATGATAATGGGGTCCCAGACACCCCCATTCGCAGCTAAGACTGCATATACGGAATGTAGTAGTTTTACCAGTCCCTCTTTTAACGCATCTTGCACTGACAATAAACAAGACACAATTTTGACTCTCTTTTACTCTATTTTTTATAAATTAATCAAAATTAGTACAAGATCGAAACATTATTAAAATAATTGTAAGACAAATTTGTATTCATTTCATGCGACTTGGGCCCGGCGTTTCCCCGGGCTACGTGCAAGGGTGTGTACTCTGTTGAAATATAATTTAAGGTTTATTATATAACTTTTATTGCTTTTTATAATATACATTGGAATACAATATAATCTTATATCTCGTCATCCTTTTTAACCTTTAATGAATTTGAACTGACATTTTTAACTTATATCATTTTTCTATATAATCGAACATATTATAAATCGCGTATTTTTTAGACATTAACAAGAAATGTTTACAAATAAATATAATACGTGTTCGATGTAACCAATCGATCTGAAATAAAAAATAACATTCCATCCCGTTTCGTGGGTATCATCGAATGCACGCGCGTAGCCGATTAGCTCTCGCGAACGCCACCTAAACTGCGCCGTAGCATCGCGATCGAGCGGAGTCTTGCTTTATTTGTATCTGCCATTTTGCAATCGGTAAACGAACGTATATTTCATTCAAGTATCGCACCGCGAAAGAGACTGAATTGTATAGTAAATCACTCGTTCGAAGAAAGGGTTCGTTTACTGATCGACCAATGACCAATCGTACGGTTTCGTCATTATCTATTCTCATCCAGCAAGAAATTCACGTTCGACACTGCATTTCGCGAGACAGCTTTTTTTCTGCTTTACCATCGCGACCAGAGTGACTCACGATTGTACGGTAATGACATTTATGTCACACGCGGCATTCGCTACGTTTCACCTGCTAGCGCTTTCTCAAGGTCCTCCGTATTTATATGCATTTTAAGGCGAACTTCATCTTAATGCACCCACACATCATCTTCAGTCGTTTTATTCAACATTAATATTAGACTACGTAATTTACTTCGGTCCAAACGGTGAAGCTGTGTTTATGTTGTCTCGTTTCTCATTCGCTTCGTCGTGTGTTTCGATCTCAACGATACATGTAAGTGTAAGCCTTAAACCGTGAGATTCTCACACGTCAAATTAAATTTTGTTCCTGCTCCGTGAACACGATTCACCTTTATTCTTCTCTTTCATTGTTTCTATTGTTATTCCAGAATTATGCGATCATCCTCTGTCTGCCTGCAATTATTAACAACTTATTAGTAGGTTAGATTGATGCATTATGGACGCGTATATAAGTACAGCAATTGCATATTTTTTTGTTAAACCAAACATAAGTTTCACCGTGATTGTCATTACGAATCGTACATATTAAATGTAGCATCAAATTTTGTATTGTTATACTTGTTTGTTGATTACAGAAAATTTGGTGTTTAATTACATGTATTTTACTTATAGGATGCCATTGTATCATTAGAGAAATAAAGCAACTTGTAGCTGTGATTCATTTTCAATAATATTTACTAAGGAATTAAAGAGACTTGGAAGTATAATTAACATGATGGACATTGATCCTCCAGAATTTTTGTCCAAAGACGATGAAATTCAGTATTGGATGGAGCTTGCTCATCAAATACATAGAAGGTAAAAATAGATTATAAAGGAATTATTATTAAGAAAGTATTTTATATGTAAAGGTGCTTGTTATGTTCTCATAGAAAAGAAGATCTAGAAAGAGAATTGGAAGAATTTCAAGAAAATTCACAATTATTGGAAAAGGAATTGGAAGCTTCTTTAGAACAGGCAGAGAAAACTAACAGAGAATTACGACAACGAAATACAAGACTAGCCACAGAAGTGGAACAATTAAGAACAAGGTTAGATCAACAAAGCACGGATTGTGCAATGTTTCAAGGAAAGGCTCAAGATTTACAGACTCAACATGACCATTTGCTGAAATACATAAGAGAATTGGAACAGAAAAATGACGATTTGGAAAGAGCTCATAGGTACTTGAAAGTTATGTTTGTCAGAATGTAGTATAACATATTTTACTATATTGTAATTTGTTTACCTGTCACAGGATAAATAGGGTAACGGAAGAAGAAATAGAGGCAAAACTTAATTCTGCCATTGAAAAGAATGCCCTGTTAGAATCGGAGCTCGATGAAAAAGAAGCCCTGAAAGTTATAGTACAGAGATTAATGGACGAAATTAGAGGTCGTAGATTAAATAATATAATTTGAGTGATTAAGTACAAAAATTAACTATAATATTTCATTTGATTACAGACCTAAAACAAGAAATTCAAGTTCAAGAAAGGCATCAACCTGACAATGATAAATCAGCTGACCGAGTTCGTAATCACGTTGATAGTAATAAACTACAGGTTGAATTGGAAACACATAGCACTCCCATAGTACCGCAATCCATAACTCCAAGTAATACAGCAACTTCACCATTAAAAAGTAAGATCCATAATACTCTACGTAAAACTAAACGCATGTTTTGCTTTGGGCCTAAAAGATGATTTTTAATATCGTTAAAGTCAACAGACGACAAAAGAAATACTTGTATCTAACAAAACAGAACAGTTGCGGATAACAAATGGATGCAAAATTTGAATTCAATTGACTTACGTTCTAATGACTTTTTTTCCCCGATGACGAATGTTGATTGATATTTAAGATTACTCAGAACATATTGTTCGGTCTAACTTACATGCTTCATTAACATAATTTTATGTGCTTTAATCAATTTTATCAGTTTGTATATACATATACATATACATATATGATATTGTTATCAATGAAATAAAAATTATTTTAACAAACTTGTTCTTTATTTTAGTTTCTGAAAGTTATTATTTCAACTGACTCGCATGCAAACGTTCTTTTTATTTGTTTAGACTGAAATGTTGTTATAGTTGATTATCTACTTTTATTTTCTATATATTTCATACTCTATCATATACCAGTAGTAATTTGTTCTTTTCCTGTTTGCAATTAGTTGGAAACAGAGTGGTAGGGGGTGTAACTGGGAACAACAATAACAATAATAATGTGAATCCACCGTTGGCACCGTGTACAAGAATATTAGCGATGAATATGATTGGTGACCTTATGAGAAAAGTTGGAGTAAGTATAATCACCGTTTATTTATATTATATACTATATGTTCTTTTTATATTTTCAAATGCTCTTTTAGCACGTACGTTTTAAAGTAACTCAAAGCATGGCTTGTGTATTTTTAGTTGCCGTAAATATTAATTTTAGCACTAGGCAACTGTTCTATTAGTTTCGAATTTTTGTTCTCTTACGACACCTTTGGTTTTGTTTTTCTGTAAATTTTAAATGTATCCTGTGTAAAACAAGAGATCTACTTAATAAGATTTAAGTGTGTAAAAAGAAATACCTTGGAAAAATTGACTAAGTTTATATAAAATGCTTTAGTATTACATTAGTCATTGATACTGGTAGTGTGATGTAGCTGGTGTTTTGGTAGCTTGACAGGTGGGTCTGCATGGACTGTAAGAAGGTAAAATGCACTTGCGTGGGTGGAAAAAATACTGTTTCCACTACACCCACTGATTTACCAAGCGTCCAGGTTCACACACCCGCTCAATGTATACGGCAACAACCTAGATCAACCAAGTGCTGACCAAGCCTTTGTGTACAGGTCTTTATTTGGTTTCTTTTGTTTTGTATCGCATATTTTTCTTCTGTACAAATCACGCTTTGCGTTAACTCCTGCTTAATTATCCTATGCTTCCTTCATATGGTTTTACCACCCACATTAAGTCTGTCCGTCTGTAACTTCTTTGTAAAACATGGTATCAACACTGGAAATAACAATAACAATTGACAGAAATCATATTGCCTCGTTTAACGATACTTATTTAATTGCATAGGCATTGGAGAATAAGTTAAATACATGCCAAAACCCTTCACGAGAGGATCAAGCCGTCCGTGATCTCTACAGGTAACGTTATAGCAATGTATTATTAATCTTGAGAAATCACATTATTGTCTCTATATCATTGTGCACTTCGTGTACTCGTAGTAAGGGAGGTGTCATGTATCATTAACTGAATTTTTTTACAATTATTACTTTAAAAAATTGAATCTCGTTTATACAGAGAACCTTTAGTGAAAAGGTTTTCGTTAAGTCAATGTTCAAAAGGATACATGATAACTACTAAACGAATTGTACTTATATTACTAGTTTCATGTTGATTCTTAATTATATAGTGCTTTATGTGAACGTTAAACTTATAAATTTGTGTATAATCTAAATGCTTCTCACAATCCCAGTTCTTTAGCTTTTTAGTCTTTGAAAGTTCAAAATATTTAATAAGACTGCATTATTTGTCGAATAGCTCATGTATCGCTTGCGTTATTAATTAAGACAAAGCATCTTATTTTTTATGTCTCTAAATGTAATTTGTTTAGTTTAGTATAGATGTATACTGTTCTGAAGCGGAGCGATCAAAGTTAATTAATACGATAAACTAAAGTTTCGAGCTTTCGTGTCAATTTTTGTTTATTGTCTCTTTACCTGTATTGTACGTGCAGTAGGTCTTCTTTGTGATTCAAAGAGTACAATACTGTTGTCTATCGAGGTCTTAATAATCTAAATCATTTAAAATAATGATTAGAAACTTACATTACTTTTTACTTAAAGAAAACAAATTTTTAATAATTTCATGATTTTTAAGACCTTTGATAGATCAGATTCATATTATATGTAACTTCATTTTTAAGATGGAAACTTCATCAAGTTCGTTGCTACTATAAATTTGTTAATGTGCAAGTATATGTTATAAACATAACAAAAATAACTTTTATAAAGGGATAAGAGGAGATCCTACGCTCAGAAACTATTCTAATTAATTGATCATAATTAATGTAACTAAACAAAAACATTTCCTCGTTTATATTTTTTGACGTTTTATAGAATAAATATAATTTACGTATGTTTTATGTTATTATAAAGCTTCTATGCATATTGGATTGAGCTAAATTTAAATATATGATAAGTACACGCTTGTACATAACATGTATATATACATTTTAATGATTTATGCAATGTTTTCAGTTATAAGATTAATAGATGCATAATAAGTAGTTTCTTTACATTATTCAAATATTAAAACCAGTGTACGATAATATAAGAATAGAATGATATAGTTTTCTGTACAAATTTGTAGCTCAATCTATAATTGCAATATTTTAATGTTGACCTTTAGTGCTTAAATGTTATTTTTTAAAAGTTAATTTTCATTTGCACCAAAGGATGCAACATTGTTTATGTAATACAAGGTGGATTGTTGTATTTATACAGATCTTTCTTGCATGAAGTTTACACGTAATTTTTGTACTTTCTATCAGTAATGTTGATACAGTGTACGCAATAAAATTGTTTGTACTATTTGTTGTATCAAAGTGGCTGAGAGAATTTTAAATTGCACAATATACAACTTTCTGTTTTGTCACTGTTTTGTTCAGATCATGCATTAACATTAACCGTTTAGTGTAAGTATGACTTACCTTGAAAGGCAATCATGAATTTTAAATCTATCAACTAATTTTCATGTGCATGTTGTACAGTTTATGCACGATTCATAAATATGTACAGCATTTCTCAATCTTTCATAAAATTGTATTTTATCTAATACAGTTTAATTAATTAAATGAAATAAGAAGAGAGAAAGATTGTTAACGTGTGATTGAGAAACGCTGATTCCTTTATATGTTTAAAATTATATAAATCATACTTTCTTTGTATAAAATAGTAACAAAACAGTACTAAATTCTTTTATCAGGACTAGGCGGCAAGTTCGAGGCTTTGCCTCTGGCAACAGCAACCACATTCGATTATAAACAACGGATAATATTCCAACAGTAAACTTCTACCTTGTCCATTATGTTTCTATACTTGTAAATTCTTCTTACTTTACTTCAAATATCATTCATTAATTTATTACTTAACAAATGAAACAAACATGACTTCTATCCACTTACTTATTATTTATTTTTATAAATTATTTAATTTCTCTTTTCCATGGAATTCATTATTCGTGGAAATTACTTTCTATTTCTTTTCTCCTGAAATTCAAAGGCATATTTGATAATAATATGAATGAAATTTGTAAATAAATATTCAAAATTGTAAGTGTAAAGTTGATTATGTGATAATTATAGATATGTATTAGAATTACGTTATTGTTGTGTAGATATTCACAAATGATATTAAATGAATAATTTGTGAATACTTAGTTTCAATATACATAGTTTTAGCACAATTAAAAAGATTCAGCCACAGTTAGAAACAATACTATAACCATTAGTGCAAGTCTAGCTTTTACAGTAAATTAAGAATCCGTATGTCTATTTTTTAATAACAAAAAGATATTCTTTTGCGTCTTGCAATTCAATTTTATACTCTAAATTATAGCAAAGTTATTCAATTGTGTATTATATTTCCAACATAAACTGTGTGCTTCTGTGCCACTGAATAATTATAGATAACTTCATATTTTAAAACAATTATATGAAATAAAAAGCATACTAACATTACTAATTAAACTTTAAACGTATTCAATTACATATACATATATTGGATAAAAAAAATTGTAAGTTCATATTAAATTTCGCTTAACATTTTATGTTAATAGTAAACTGATTATGAACTTCATTTTCTAATGAAACTGAGATACAAATAGTAGCAGAATTAACATAATATTTGTAACATAAATTTGTAAAATTAAATTAAAATATTTGTAAAATAAAATTACTGTAATCAGCTTTTCAATGAATGAAATTTTACTTCTTAAAACCTATCATACTTATCAGATAATGATTATCACCTATTAGACAAAGACAGGTAAGTCAATATTTTTATGTTTTATTTATGAAACGTTTATCTTTACACGAACAGCGAGTACTTTTCTGATTGAAATACGATATGTAATTGTAGTACAACCAGAGTTCTAGTACAGTAAACACTACATTGGATTCCTATAAAGAAACTGTCTTACCTTCTAATGCACATTTTTTTTTTCTCTCTCTATGTACTGTATCAATAATGATGATGATGTATGTACTTCAGTAATTATATATATATAGTAGAGAATTATAATGAAAACTTGCAGCAGATGCGTTTTAATCCTAAAAGTACTTTTAGAAGAATTAACAATTTCTTTTGTCTTTTATCAAGACCATTTCACTTCTAAACGTATTTTAGATCTTGATGTTCTTATTCTACGGATAAAAAGTAATATGATTAAAAAAATATATAAACTAAAGAACAAAAAGAATTAATATTTATAACTGAAAATTTGTATAATGTAACAGAGTTTACACGTTTATGTGATAACATAAAAAAATTATTACCATTTCAATTCTCCAAATAGTTTATACCAATTTCATGAATGAATTTATCAAAGTTCTGAATTTTCTATTCTTACTAGAAGAAATGACAATTTTATAACTTGTACACTTTTATGGAGTACGAAATAATATGTAGCTTGGAATGAAAATGTTTCATCCATGATCTCGTTACGAATGATAATAATAATAATAATAATAATAATAATGATGATAATAATAGCAATAAATGGTATGTATGGGAGTTACATGTTATTTAAGCACGCTCGCCACGAATTCGCCGAGCTAGCTGGATATCCTTGGGCATGATTGTGACACGCTTGGCGTGAATGGCGCACAAGTTGGTGTCTTCAAACAAACCAACCAAGTATGCTTCTGAAGCTTCCTGCAAAGCTCCGATAGCAGCACTTTGAAAACGTAGATCGGTTTTAAAATCCTGTGCAATTTCACGAACCAATCGTTGGAAGGGTAACTTTCTGATCAGCAATTCAGTAGATTTTTGATATCTTCTGATTTCTCGAAGAGCTACCGTACCTGGCCTAAAATTCACATTTTATGTACTGTACACTATCATCTGTATTTATAATCGATGTATATTTACATATACTTTGTATAAAACACCACACCTGTAACGATGTGGTTTCTTTACACCACCCGTAGAAGGTGCACTCTTACGAGCTGCCTTTGTGGCAAGCTGTTTACGAGGTGCTTTACCTCCAGTAGACTTACGAGCTGTCTGCTTGGTACGGGCCATGGTTCAACCTGAAATAATAAGACGATTAGTAACAGGAAAGACTACAAAATATTTATCGGAGAGTTATTGTTTATAATATAAATATCAAGATCTGAATGATTTGTGAGATGCGAGAAGTTTAATTGGGAACGCGGGAAAAATGATTTTGAAGAGTACAAGTGTTGTGATAACTGGAGTAAAGGATGCTTCGGAGGGGGAAAGACGCGGTAGTGGGGGAGGGGACAAGAGTGGGGGTACGATCCGTTGCTGTTCGTACGGAGGAGCCGCGCACCGAGGAACGCTACGCATTGCGCAATGCACAAACTTTCGTTCTTCCTGCACCGACGCGAATAAAAGCCATGCTAACGAGAAAAAAATGTATCATAGAAATTCATAAAAATTCTTGGATTTCTCAAACGATCCCCTCTATAGGAATATCATTCACCAAACAAAACATTACAAATGACACTTCTCGCGAAAGAAGCCGAAAGCGTCACTCGCGAGAGAAGCTCGTGAACGATTCCCTCCACGAACGTCAATTGCAAAATGGAGGCAATACGACAGTACGTTGCGTTCAGACGTGAAAACTCGAATTTTCCAGCACTTTTCACTTTCTCCGAGACACATTGCACTTCGAACCTATGTATCAGTACCGATAATTACACATCACATAAGATAGGATAGAATTTAAAGGAAATTACATACCTTTGAAAGGAAAAATCCTACGAAGAACGAGAGCTAGCACTATCCGTTTCCTTGTACTTCGATGGCAGTGGACGCTCTCCCAAGTCACGACTCCCTTGTCCCTACCCCCTAGAAATTAAATCGCGAGAGGTACGTAAGCCCGCGGTGCAGTGCATCCAATCAGATGTCGGATAGCAGTTGAGCCTCATAGCGTAGCATATGCGATTGGTTTAGCCTCCTATGCCTAGAGTGCGAACTGAGAAGAACCCTGTCAATTGTAATATACATGATACATCTCTCAGCAACCTCGTTTTACTTGCAATAATTATTGTCTCATTGTCGTTGAGAGTATTTAAATTGATAAATATTTCATCTAAAAAACCTTTCACATGTGAATTACCGACATATGGATCGGAATTGCTTTCGCAATCAATGTTTCAATGTACCTTTAAATTTGTATCTCCGCGTACAAGCTCCAAGAGTTTGTTTGTGTAATTCTTTCTGCAATGAGATCGGTTATTTCGTCGAAATTTCTAGAAAAACGTGCAACTTTTATAAAACGTGATAAAGAACACGTCATCCTAACGTTCTGTACTTATCGAGATCATAATGTTTGAATGATAGTTTAAAGGGAATACGGATTCTATTGATGTTGAGCTATTATTTCCAGGATTAAACCTTCTTTTACGTTTCCGCTTGGAAAAAGTAGACGCCATTGTGCTTCTAAACTTAAATATTATTGTATCGATATTTGATCGACAAATATACTACTTTTCCATATTGAATTTCGAGATTCAAATTGTACTACGTGAAATTTAATTTGATTAACGATAGTTTTAATTTTATATAATTTTTCAAATTTTATCACGATATATCTTGTAAAAAAAGGTTTTGTGGACACATACTTACATACATAACGGTTACAAATCGTTATCTACAATGTAATCTGCGCATTCCCAATGACAAATATTTTATATTCATGCAGCGTATATATGCTGGGGTCTATTTTTCGAAAAATATAGGAAAATCTTTATACAATGTAATAGCCACGTCATACGCGAAAAACATAATTGAATGTATCATTAAATGTTATTTACGTAGCTGACGTAATCGTTACAACCAGTAATTGTATTAATGTGATCGATGTAGCATAATTCATTGAAATAATTAGTCATCAAAATTACCCGAACTTATTAATTAAAAAGATAATTTTTATACGTAATTCTTAATTATTTTGTATTTATACAAAACAGTTTCTAAGGTAGGTAAAATTAAATTCCGGGTTTAAATTTTGTAATTATATTTCGTACGCATACGTGGTCGGATTAGTGGTCGACGTAAATTACATTATATGTATATTCCAAAATTTAATTTCCTAACATATACAAAAAAAAGTATATTTTATCACTAAAAGAGTTTAGGTTAAATTTAAATGATCTTTATAGTTAGAATCACTAAATTAGTAATAGAATAATTAATAAAATCGTAACTTTACAAATTTGTTAATTTCAATGAATTTACATACATAAATGCGGATCAACTTAGATAATACAAGTACAGTAACATAAACTTATTAGCATTCCTAGTACATAATTCAATAATACTTCAATTTTCTACAGATTCTTTTCATTTAACGCTACAATATTACCTATGTTTACTTGTACGTAAGGACGACCTTACAGTATATTATAAACTCAATCTATTCTAAGTTTGATGTGTAGAAAATTGTATTTAGAAGTTACATTACGAAGTAACGTCAATGGTATATAACTGGCTTTTTTGCAAAATATTAAATCTACGTTATCGTATTGCTTATATATCATTTAGTACACTTAGTGCGGTACATAATAATAAAATAATTATGCAAGATGACATTGCTATTTATTATAAACTACATACTCCGTTTGGTGCCTTCTCCATACTTTCCTACCATCAAGTAATAAATGTATTTTAACTAAACTACCGGATATAACTAACAGATATACTTTATTTCCTGCATCTTATAGCTCAAGGCCTGGCAGTGTCAACTATAGTAATGACTCATAGAAAAAAACTCAAACACAATGAATCTGATTATTTCTGATAACATTGAAGAATGCAATGACAAAATGAATTTGAGTAGAAAAAAAGTTTCAAGTGTCGAACTGCTTAAGCGCGTTCACCGCGGATTCTTCTCGCTAATTGAATATCTTTAGGCATTATTGTAACACGTTTAGCATGAATTGCACACAAGTTTGTGTCTTCGAACAGTCCAACCAAATAAGCTTCGGAAGCTTCTTGCAATGCTCCAATTGCAGCACTCTGGAAACGCAAATCAGTCTTGAAATCTTGTGCAATTTCACGAACTAAACGTTGGAATGGTAATTTTCTTATAAGTAATTCAGTCGATTTTTGGTATCTTCTGATTTCTCTGAGCGCTACGGTACCAGGCCTAAAACACAAATGGAACAATTAGAACAACAAGAACAATTTATTGCATTACTGAATCTTTTTATTTCGTCATTTTTACCTATAACGATGTGGTTTTTTCACACCACCGGTAGAAGGTGCACTTTTACGTGCAGCTTTGGTTGCAAGTTGTTTCCGCGGAGCTTTACCTCCGGTTGATTTACGAGCAGTTTGCTTCGTACGTGCCATATCTAAAAGAAAAAAATTCTAAATTTGTAACGAATGCTATGTAAATAATCCGTATATATACACAGGTTTTTATACATAAAGTAGCGAATAGAAATATAATTAAACGTCATTTAAAGAACGATGAAACTTCTTCGATTATTGAATATTTAAATCAAAAACATAAGAAATTATAATTAATGTAAAATAAGTATTCGTTTCCCTCCAAAAGTGGACATAATAAACAAAATGGCGGATAACGTGAATAGACAGCAGCATACAAAAAGATTTTGTATATCACAAAAATTATGAATTCTTTCAACGTGAAACTCATTGCTTATAATGAACCTGAATAAATGTTAAACTTAAATACTTTATTTATTTAATTATATAAGGAAATAATCGAACCTGCTCCTCAAACGATCACGACAGAAGCACTACACAAGCTGTTTCGTTCGATGGCGTTACACTAATGGTTTTCAGAAACGTAGTTTGGTCATGTAAGAGATAGACGACAGCACTGTTTCAGATACACTCCAGGATTGGTTGTTATTTCATAAAACCATCCGTGATTGGTCGATTTCCATCGAATGAACGTGTTTGTTACGAAATTTACAAATTTACAATTATTTTAATAATGCGTTGCATACCTTGCTATCTTCTTTTATCAACAATATCGCGATATATGAATCATTTTTTTTTTCTAGAAATATTATTCACGAAATGTTAGATGCATGACGTATAATAGCATATTAAATTGTATGCAAATCGATAGAGCATTGATTGAATTTACATACCTAATATATGTATGTATTGATCTTATCAGAAACACATACATGAACATAACTTTAAAAACTAATTTACCTTTTACATCTTGAACATACATACGAAGTCTTTTTCAAAGTTGGTTAAAAATAAAATTTACATAAATACGAATACTCATCGATTAACGACAATAACATTTTACTAATATCATGGTATCAGAAGATATCAATATAATTTATTTTTCAAATGATCAATTTTATTGATTTACAATATTCATTTTTATAATTACTACCTAATAATAGCATAAGAAGCAATAATAAACATTCGTTCTACAAATTACGCCATGAGATAATTATTATCCTTGTATTTTCATTATCAATATTATTCATATACATATATGCATATCTATAAACTTTCAGTCATCGAGAAAATATTAGAACAAAATTTATTTACTAACATTCTAACTACTGCTACGCTAATTTAAATACGTTATTTAAAATTGTATTGCCAAAAATACGAGTCGTCAATATTAACTTTTTTTTTCTTCATTTGCACACAAATGATGCATTTTTTAAAATCTTTATTATTCAATTTGTACTGACATTCATTAGAATTCGCTACAATCGTTAATGATAACGAAAACTTCTTACTGCATTTTTTAATTTTTTTTTTAAGTTTCATAGTTTTTCTTTCGGTATGCGACCAGATATGAAATCTTGTTTAAACATCATGTAAATACTAGTATATTCATTGGTTTATGAGTAATTGTGTCATTTTGGCAGGACATGAACATTCAAATGCAAGCCCATATTACTTTTATACTGTATGAAAAAATGAGTATATCTTTTTCTTAGAAAAATTAATTACTTGCTTTTGTAAAACTTCTGTTCTTCTTTTAATGTATTTTCTTATATAAATTAAACGTGCATTTATTTAGCAAGATAAGAAACATAAAATTTTATGACAATCAAAAAAGAAATGTTAGAATATGATTTTAAGATTGTCAGTGTATGTTAACTTAAACATAGATATATTGAAACAAAATAAATTAGTTGAAAATACTTTGAGTTTTATGAAAAAAAAAAAAAAAAAAAAAAAATGTTATTATAACTAGAAGGCATTAAGATGACAAACATGTATATGTTTCATTATCTTTCTTAGTTGGACTTCTTGATTATAAAAAGAAAAGATGAGCAAACAATTGATAAGCTTTCACTTTGTTTTTACTACACAGGATATATAAATGCAGTTTTAATGTATATAATAAAATTATCATCAAATATACAAAACATTTTGTTCATTAATATCTGAAAGGTACTGCCTGACATTTAAACAATATATAATATCTACAACACTAAACATTCTTCTTCTTTTAAATGGGATAAAAATAAAGAAATAAAAAATAAAACACTTATTCAGTTGTACATCCTCCCAAATTATAAATTGACTATGCAATTTGTATTACTAGTATCAATAAATATTTCAAATATAATATAAATGTAAATTATTATTAAAGTAAAATATGACTTAAAATTATAAAATTTAAAAAACAATTTGTAAGTTTTTAAAATTATCATCAAGTATTCCAAGCCAAATGGAAAAGTAGTCACAATTTTTGAAAAATTACACAAGTTTTGCTTGGTTGAACAATAATAATACTAAATAGTCGCTATCTTAAAATTAATTTTTTCGTAGTTGCTTTTTATACTTCTATTAATTTTTCTTTTAACTGGCAGCACCTTGGATTAATGTTAATTTAACATCATTGAAATATTGCAATGTTTTGTGTTTCTTCTTGGCATTTTACAGAAACAAGCATTACTATTTATAATTTT